AGCAATTAGAACTTCTTTTTCAGTCAATATAAATACATTCGATAGATGGGGGTTGTTTGTGGATATTTTTAGTAAATTTTTACACATGGTTGAAATTATGAGTCAATTGAAGCTAGACCACCATGGAAAACCTGGAAGCACTGGACGACTGTTTCGTCCTATTGTGAGACTCCTCAGCAGTGCGCATCCACGATCCCGCATCGTGAGATTCGAACCCAGGACCTACCAGTCTTCAGCGCGAGTACTTAACCGATAGACCACTTAGCTGACCGGCATCCAACGGTGTTAATGTCTAACTTCAACCAATCCACGAAGTTGAGCAACCATTTTACCAATGTCTTCAGTGAGTTGATATCTCCCAACAGACCTGGTTGAACTCCACTGATTACTGATTCTCACTAGAACTCCAGGAAATACCTCGTGGAGTCAGTCGTGGATGCGCACTGCTGAGGAGTCCCAAAATAGGAAGAAACGGCCGTTCAGTGCCTCCAGGTTTTCCATGTTGATCTAGCTTCAATTGATTCATGATTCCAACTTTATATGTCTATGTATTTAAGTATTTAAATTACTCGATTTATTAATGTATTTATTTAGTAGTTTGGAGGATCGAAATTATAAAAATGGTTGGTTGTTTTATTTATTTTCTGAAAAAAATACTAAGCTTTGTTTAGACTGAACAGAGAGTTTAAAGCTAAAACTAATCTATGCATTAAATGGAAAATATTAAACTTAAAGTGAAGAGAACAACAATATTAATAGCCAGTCGTATAATATCACCGTGTTACGTAATCTGAGAAAATTCTATCAATAGAAGATATGGACTTTTTTTATATAGCTGAAGCCATAGGAATTCGTACATTCCACCCTCCCCCCAATTTATGTGTACAAAAGAAATTCGTAACCCTCCTATCCCTTCCATGGCCGGACATAACTAATGACATTATTACTATTATCTTTTTTGAGATGTTAGTAACATTCTTACTGATAAACATAAGGTAGGTATGACTCGCTTACATAATGTAATTTCATTGACATTTTCACATAATGTAGATAACTTTTAAGTGGGAACTCATCCATTCTTCATAGATATCGATTTCCAGTGTGTTTAACAGATATACCGTTTACTAGCGATGTTATTGGATTGTGATTTTTTAATACAACTGATACTTCCTGTTCATTTATTGAATGGATAAAGTGTATTATTTTTAGTTATAAGTTAACTGTCTTTTAGAAAAGAAATTTAAACATCTAGAAAAGTGACACAGTTATCTATGTACACCAGTTATATACCTTAAAACAACTAGCTTACTTGATAGAAAAACAACTTCAGAATGTAAAACCTTGCACAAATAATACGATTATTGTTTATTAAAACATCAGTAACTTCAGAAATATTACACAGTAAGTAAACAGGTAACATCGACCTGAACAAATCATCCTTTAAAATTTACAAAGATGAAGAAATTCAGAAATTCCGTCATCAAGATCAATTCAGAATATACAAACGGGTAACTACAACGCAGTTTACATTTTATAAAGCTTCAGCAATAGTTAATTTGATTAAATGGTTGGTTTTGCTTTTTTCTCTCTCAATAATATCGACAGTTTGTTTAGATAATATCAGGTCGTGTCAGTTTTATACTAACTTGTGTGGGAAGGTCAATTCTAGGTTATGATTAAGAATGAAACTGTATGATTTTGTCGGTACTTGTAAGGTCAAAGTAGAAAAAGAAAGACCCGTCAATTACTGTTATTTTTCAAGCTGAGTATAGTTATGATTTTATCTAATTTTATGTTATAGCCAGTTAATGAAATAAATGATATTCTAGTAAACATTAGAAACTGTAAACTAAGGATTTTATAAAACTGTTATTTTGCATAAATGAAACAGTGTTCTTGAAAATACAAGTTACTATTGCTAATCATCGTCAATATATTTAATCCAAGTGTGTAAGCACCATAACATATTCTGGTGCTTGAAACTTTTGTACAACCATTGGGCTATGATCTTTAATTTGGGAGTTCCATAAAAATTAATGGTAATTTACAACAGATTCATTTTTAAATGTTAAATTCGCTGAACTATGTGCATTTAGCTATAGCTTTAAACTTGTATTCTCTCTTACATGTGTGCATCGTTCACTCATTTATATAAGAAAAGTTCTGTACAAAGCAATAGAGTTAACTTCTCTTAAGAATGGAAATATTCTAAGTTGTCTAAAAAAGTCAACATCAGTTTCTTTGCCTGGTGAGATTTCGTTAAGGTTTAAAATGATTTTCGTCATAGGTTTATATCAATTCTGTAAGTACTGAATGACAATTTCTTGTTAATTTATTGTTAATTAGCGTTATATATATCCATGATATCTCCTAAAATCGAATCCATGATCGATGTACCGAATAATGGCAGGTAACAAATAATTTTACTTCCCCTATTTTCACTGCCAAAAGAATAAACTCTTGAGAAAAGGTCCAGTATCATTGTGTTCACGTTTTGTACTGTCAGTTAAACTCTATCGAAAAATATATGTGCTTACTCGTGTAAATACTTCAGGTTTTACTATAAGTTTGACTTTTACGGTTGCTGTTTGCTATTCATCAGTATCCGTTTTATCTAACTTATGTTTTATTGGTATCTATATTTCCGAAACCTTATGATAGTTTCTATAGAAGAGGCAGATTTGTGATTACCAAGAAGATCCAGGATACGTGTTTTTTACTATTTTAAGACGCTTCAGATAGATTTATATTAATCTCAATGTTGATATTGATATTAGGACTGGAAATCAGTAATATTCAATCCAAACGCTCAATGCGTTATCTACTTAGCTACTGAACCCAGATACTGTGTCATTTGTGCTATAGGTATGATATATTTATTATTTTTAGAAAGAAGTTGAACTATCTTGTTGTTAATAATGTTGATTGAATTCTGACTAGTTTATGAGTCCCCAAACAGGATTTGAAGTTGTCAACTTGAAACGTTGACGATTTTACTAATTATTCTTGAGTTTCAATTTTAGGCTGTTCATGTTCTCAGTTTTTAAATCTTTGATTCGTATTGGACATTTTCAAATATAACCAGTTAGTGAGAAGAATAATCTAGGTTGAATGATATCACTCATTTTCAAGAAAAATATAATTCACTGCCAATTTTAGGCAATGGAAATATCATTATCTACAAGTATTAACATTTGCTAACTCTCGAAACGACGGTAATGTACAATCAATTATCACTCGTATAGTATTTTAACTAATTAATCAATATCATTATGTATATCTGTGCCTGCAATAGGTTTATCCCAATAATGTTTTATCGATATTGAACAGTAAATATGGCTAACAATTTTGCAGGAAAATAATTACCTACCCACTGTAATCAATATTTTCACTAAATGGACACATACAATTCATTATGTTTTAGCTATTACTCTCTTGTATATCAAGCAACAATCTAAATGAAAAGATTATGGGATAAATTCAGCCCACATAAAATTTCTAAAAAGAATAATTTTACGTTTCAAAAAGGCATCTATCAAAATCGTGGGAGAACATTTTATTTTAAACACAAACACGCCTACTAAATACTAGTTTATATCACAGTTTGGCTTATTTATTTTCTAAGTTATATGGTTCTGTGTAGATTTTCTGTAGTTTAATTATAGTTTTCACCATAGACTGAAGTCACCAGCAGAACAATTGAAAAGTAGGATTAATCGAGATAGTTATTTCTTTATGAGCTAAAACTATGTGCTCTCTCGGGATCAAAGCCAGGAACTCATAAATCTCTAAGTGTTTAATACTCCTCAGTATCATTAAATTGAAATTTAATAGTTCAAATTTTCAGTTTATCATGTAGAGTGCTCATCCTATGTCACAGGTGAATGTATTTCCTACTTCCAAGTGAAGAATATGCAATAAGCACTTTTAATTCATTAAACAAGCGTTTTCGGTTATTTTCAGGATGTTTTCTTTCGCTTTTATTTTTACCAAAGTAGAATTATTTATGTACAAGTTTTATAAGTTTCTGTACAGTATGGACATCTCTTCTAAGTGTCATTCTAAGTTAAATATCCAAAGTTGAGACATTTTAAGTACAAACTATATGAATTTATGTTGTACACATATGGAATAGTCGATGTTTAAACAAAATACTTAATTCAATATAACTGTAATTATACATAGTTGAAATCATGAATCAGTCGAAGCTAGACCACCATGGAAAACCTGGAAGCACTGATGGTCTGACTTCAATTGACTAATACTCTCAACTATATGAAATCTCCACAAAATCCCTTTCTGATAATAACCGTAATCACTGAAAGGGATGAATGGAGATTATTGTGGATTTAGCATTCAATTAAGAGTTATACTTTAGTTTTGAGAATTAGCAGGTAGCATGAGATTTAAGTAAATGAAGTGGATATTATTCAAAATTATGACTCAATCACTGAAGTTAGAGTCCTTTAATCACTATCCTATTCCCCTTTTTTTTTAAAAAAACTCGTACATTTACATTTATGAAGGCAATGACATTTTACTTTTCGTATTATCGTTTGATCAACTTTACTTAAATCTCTTTTTAAATGTTTTCATACAAGATTATAGTAGATTATAAAACTTTCGTCTAAATTAGAGTGAATAGTTTCACAGTATTTGGGCGCCAAGTTTGTGTAAGACATATTTCCTTGAGAAAGCTTGAATCAGATTGCCAGCCGCAACGTTGGATTTACTTCAAATTCATTCGCTGAGATTTTACAAATACATTATTGCTATTTAATGTCTTATAGCAGATTACTTTTAAATTAAATCATGTCTTGCAAATGGATTAGTTTTAGAAATTACAAAAAGATGCTTCTTTCGTTTACATATACCCAATGAAGTAACCATTCTGCAATATTTTCATATACTTTACTAGGGAATCTGATATTCAGTAAAATTTCAAGTTTCATCTTGTTTGTCAAAACTTGAATAAAGTTGTTTTTCAATTTTAATTTCAGAAAAGATTCAAATAAAAGTAGAAAATGTATCGAAACAAAAAACTGCATTTAATAGTCCTTCAGCTAACTTGCTTAATGTTCAAAACAACCCTGAAGATCAATCACGTTTAAATGATTCATTAGAAAATTTATCAGAATCAATTAGATCACGCCAATTACCATTAAGATTAGCCCCATGTTTAAATAAAAAAAATCATTTTGATTACATGGTTGCTGATACAAAGTTGGATTCAACTCTATATGACTCCAAATTATCACATATAGATGATAGCAGAATAAATAATCGTGATGAGTTAGATAATGATCACAAAGTGAAAAGTAGTTGGGATCCATGGTTGAAGACGGGTATTAGTCAGCGGACTAACTCAAGAACTTATGAATGTTTAGCCACTGGACTCGAGGGTGTACAAGAAGAATTCGATAATGTAACTAACCAAGAAGAAGAAATGGACTACATAGATGATAATCAAAATAATAATGAAATAAGGAATCCCATAAAGAAAAACCGTCAATCAGAAACTGATTCTCTAGAATCAAATGATAATGATTCAAATCACAGAAGACAAGAATCAGGATCATCATCATCATCATTATCATTCAAGAAATTACGTCCTGAATATTTATTTCATATTAGGAAATCGAAACATAAAAATACTGAGTCTGCGAACGATCTTCAAAGTTAGTTTCCCAATTTTTTTTAATTGCTTTTTTCCCTGGTTCATTGTATTTGGTATTTTTCAGGATAGAGATCATATTCACTTCGTAGTATTTCTTATCACTATTAAGTTCCTATGAAATGATTCAGTTACAGATTCAAGTTAATGACTCTGTGAACTAACAGGACCAGTTTTAATTTCCGGTGTAAATTTTAAATGTTTTATACATTTGATTTTAGTTTATGGCTCAATAAATGTTTACCATTCATATTTATTGGTTGCTTGAACCTTACCATTGAAGTTTAGGACTACAACCGATCAGTCTCTTATTAGTATATGTGCAACCTATGCTGATTGGCTTGATGTTACTAGCATTTTGGGCAGAGATGGATGGTGGCTAGCCAGGAAGCTCGTTTCGTCCTATTCGGGAATTAATGGCAATGTCAAAACAGTACGCACAGGATGCATGTATGCCAAAAGCAGAGGCTGATCATTTGCAATCCTAAACATCAATTGGAAGATCCAAACAACCAATATATATATGTAAACTAAAATCCATCTCATTCAGCTAGCCGGTGACTATCTAAACTTCTTAGTTAAGTGAATGACGTTTGAAGAGAACAGTACTGGATTGGAGTTTTGAAGTGGTCATCAACTCTGAGATGCAGGTAATTTCAGTTGGCTAATTCCATAAAGAACCGCTAACCACCATACATATGATTTTATCAAAAGTCCAGCACTAAAAACTACCTATGGAAGAACTGTCAGTTGTTACAACACTGTTATTTTTGTTTATGAGACATTTTTTATTGTGTAAATAACCTGAAACCGTATAATTCTGGATGACTAATCTAAATACAAACACAACAATCCTAACTCTCATAATTAGAAAACTTTTAATGCTCAGTCGATGAACCGATGGCTCCATTTTCAAAGTGATACGGTTGACATTAATTAAGTTTGTTAGTTTGGCCTTAGTTACATAGGTTCATGGATGACTTTCAAAATCTATAACTACCATTAATACGTTTTTAAATAGATGATATAAACTACAAACTCTACATAATATTTCAAAGCATTAGGTATAGAACATTGAACAATTAAAAGTAACCGTTTTCCGTCTGCATGTTTTTATTTCCTTTAGATGTTAAAACAACGAAACAGAAACCCGAAAAATATTGCAATGAACAAGAATCTATGCCTCCACCATCTAGTAATACTGTGTTAAAATATTCCAAGAAACATAAAACAATTGGCTCCCGTATTGTCAATTTTTTCTCAGCTCATTCTAAACATCGTAAAACGGACAGCAACCAGTCAATTAATAATTCTTCAATTCATTCATCTGATTCACCAAACAACGTTAACCTAGATTGCGATGATTCATCAGAATTAAGTTTAGGTCAACAATCATCTGGTGAGATTTCAACCAGTAAAAGAATCAATCAAAAAACACAAGCATGCGCTCGTGGTATTCCAACCGATAAACTTGGTCCTCCTTGTAAAACTCGGAAATTAATATCTGTTGGCACCTCTCCATCACACTGGACTGGTGAGTATATCTTTAATAACAAGGTTAATGACAACACCAATAGTAATGGTGTATTTCTAAATTTATGATATCATTTCGTTGTATCATGATTCTATGGATTCCGATTTCATTTCAGAAGGGATTTATTTTCAAAAGTGAAGGAAGTAGCTATCCAGTGGTTCCAGGTTTTTACAAAGTCAAGATAAATGAAAATAGTCTAATTAATAATAGTATGTGCATTACGTTCCATGTAGGCTGTTAAAAATACTAGTAGTCTTCATTAGATGGCTTAAACTCCCCGTTCTTGCATGCATCTTCGCCGATATTTTGTTGACTATACATTACACCCCTGAAAAGCTATAATCCTGTATTCCTTGGTAATGGGCTTCCAGATAGATCGGCGACGTTGGAATAATAAGTCGTAACCAATGTTACGTAATGAACACGGTGGATCAGATGCAGATGTGAGGGCGCGGATCGGCAAAGCAAGAGCAGCATACTTACAACTAAAAAACATCTGGAGCTCAAAACAATTGTCAACCAACACCAGGATCAGAATTTTCAATACAAATGTCAAGACAGTTCTACTGTATGGAGCGGAGATGTGGAGAACTACGAAAACGATTATCCAGAAGATACAAGTGTTTATTAACAGTTGTCTACGCAAGATACTTCGGATCCGATGGCCAGACACTATCAGCAACAAGTTACTGTGGGAGACAACAAACCAGATTTCATCCAGTGCAGGAAGAAATCAGGAAGAAGCGTTGGAAGTTGATAGAGCATACATTGAGGAAATCACACAAATGCGTCACAAGGCAAGCCGTCACATGGAATCCTGAAGGTCAAACGAGAAGAGGAAGACCAAAAAACACATTACACCGATAAATGGAGACATATGAGAAGAATAAACAAAAGTTGGATAGAACTAGAAAGGAAGGCCCAGGACAGAGTGAGTTGGAGAAAGCTGGTCGGCGGCCTATGCTCCATTGGGAGTAACAGGCGTAAGTAAGTAAGTAAGTAAGTAATGTTACTTGATCATATCGAATATGTGGTAGCTGACTGCAACTGGTATTGCGTAATGATCTCACATTTTCGCCATTCGATTGGAGATAAAATATATTGAAAATCTAATCCCATGGTCAAATTATAAGTGTTCACTACAATATCTGAAGCAACTAATTTATATTACTGACTGCTTCGTGGTTACAGATTATTAGTATACTAAGACAAAATCTGGTTCAGCGCTTTCTAGTGATAGAAAAATTGTCAGTTTGTTAAGAAAAACCGTCTACAATTTTTGTTAGGTGAACTTGACAGAGTATCCTCTTATTTCCAGCAACATGAAATTTCAGCATGTAATTCACTTGAATCACAATAATACAATTACAGCCAATATTTTAAAGAATGATTAGGATAAACAATATTTTTAGGTTATCTATGACAACTATATTTTGAGTTAAGATATCTTTCAGCGCTTGTTGAAATATTAAAATCGTGAACCTATCAATGTTAGATCAACATCGGAAACCTGAAAACACTGAACTGCATAGGGCTCTTCCGCAGTGCTCATCCACGATATCGCACGCGGGACTCGAAACCAGAATCTTCAGTCTCGAGAAAACGTCTAACCACTAACTCGATATCTGATGGTGTTAATATCCAACTTCAACCAATCCACGACATCAAGATTAGTTATCAGAAGCTGCATCAGTTAGACACTGTAAGATGATATAACTCACTAGTCAATAAAATAATCAGCTGTTCTCTAAACAACGTGAAAAAGTCAACTAGTAATAAAAAGTAGTGCTTTTTGAACAAAGGAAGTAAGTATTTTATGAAATAAAGTGTTCGTTTTTCGTAGTAGTCTGTAAAGCGTTCAAAAAACTGTATATAATGATACTGTACAATGCTTGAACATTTAATTCAGGATGTTCTAAAAAGTGAACAAGCAAGTTTTGATCTCCAACTCACTCATTAAAAAATAATACTATTCCTCTTCAGAACAGCTCACCACAGATTTTACTTCTTCCACATCATGCTTTTTGGTTTTCTTGTATGTTTATGAAACTATTTGAATCCGTTATCTGCAAATTATGGTAGCCAAGTTTGTTTTTGTCTGATAAAATCTAAATCACTGTATATAACAAGCTAACATGAAATAGAATAAAAACTCCTGGAGCATAACATTGTAATTTTAATATTTTACAAACAGACATTTCAGTTTTAAGAAATTTCAATCTCAAACACTCTCGTTGATCACAGACATTTACAAATATAAATATAAGTTTTTATTACAACAACCCCCCTCAATGTATTTTGGCTTTTGATTTTTGTTCATCTGTTTGTGTCATTGTACATATTGATCTAATTCAATAGCTACGAAAGACAGGTTATTTGTTGTTACATGGCATTGTACAGTACATTTAAGAGTAGCGCTATTTAAATTCATCAGTCAATAAAAGGTTTCATCTTCACAGTAACTATGAGTAAGGAGTTACGATTACTCTAACAATGTTTAATTCAAAACTGTTAATTACTAGGCATAAATTAATGTTACGTTTAGATCGATTAATACTTTTTTGTAAAGTTTTAATGCTCAATGAGAAGAGGTAATTACTTTGAAAAATGTAATGTATTTGCATTTATGTCTCGAGCAATGCAGTCACATATATAGTTGTCAAGGCACTTATAAAAACTAGCGAATATCAATTAAATGAAGTTTAAATATACATGAAGCTATAAGTCTTCAGATAAAGAAGAGAAAAATTAGTATAATATAGGGTGAATAGAATGTCGTCACACTACCCCAGGTCGTAAAAATGTTTTCATGATTATCAAGAAAAATTCAAGCTTATGGGCAAATTATTTCTGTATGTATAAAGGGGGTGTGAATAGTCAAAGCTTATTAAGTTTAAGAATTCATCTTTAATAAATCTTATACGTTTTAAAAATTTTGTTGTTGCCAATCCTATGGGCCACTTTGATTAGATGTTTTACTATTGATAAACATAGTTTTCTACTTCCTACTTTTATCATGGCATCTGATACCAAACGACTCTGAAGCCATTTAATTGACCTTCACTAGTTTTTATAAATGCCTTGATAAGTTTATGTATGATCAATTTTTTTGAAAAGCATAATGTAAATACATCTTCTCACCGCTCTACTAAGATGTTAGACCAGATCAAAAATTGAGACAAAGATGTAATATGCCCATCAGTATAAATGACTCAACATTGAGTGCATAATTTTTCTCCTTTTGATGGTTGAAAATGATCCCAAGGAAAGTTAAAATCAAATAATTTATCTCTAATGAAATTAAATCCATTGACTTAAAAGACTAAGAAACTGAGAAATGAATATGTCATACATGAAAATGTAAACTATAGATGTATACAAGCTTTTCATATCAGTAATAAGAATGATCGTAAATTGTTGGTTGATGAATAGTTTAAATGAAACTAATATTCGCTATCCCAGGACAGAGTGGGTTGGAGGATGCTGGTCGGCGGCTCCACTGGGGATAACAGGCGTAAGTAAAACTAAGTATTCGCTATACTAAACAATATCTAATTCCAGTAAAATCGTCTTGATAAAACTGGAAATAATCGTATTTCTCTCTAACTACTACATAAATCTAGTCTAAAGATATTAGCGACATTTTTATGTTTGAATGTGAACGTATATCAACATCATTATATGTAGTAAGGTACCGTGTGAGATTATTTGCCTAGTGTTGGAATATTGTAGGTAAGTAAACACTTTGCTTCACTGACCCTATTCTGAAAATATACAATTGTTTCCCAGATATGAAGCAGTCCGTATCTTACCCTCTAAATACTCTGGTTTTAACTTGATTTATGTGTTATCTAATTAACATACTGTCTCTTTATTCACTTTGAAGTTTCCTCTTATTAAAATATTCACATATTTACTGTATAAAGAATTCATGTAAACAGTCCTTGGACTTTCAGTGCCTCCTTTAATTAATTTCTACCTCTATATTGTCCTAAACCTGAATCAATACTTTTCTGTGAGTGTCATATAAAGTAATTTACACCATTTACCTCGAATGAATCCATCTTATTCTGTTATGACGATTAAATCTTTATTATTGGTCTTTGGCTTTCCGATTCGCGCCTTTTCTCTTGTGCTCAAGTTGCCGTGCAGGAAATCCGATTGAGAGTTCAATAAGCAGTCTTATCAGAAACATTATATTTAAAAAATCAAGAGCCTTTTAACAGTTTTGAAATTAGAAAAGTTACAAGCAGCTATTTTGTTTGGGACTAGAACTAATGAGAAAGTTGAGATTTGTAGCTCAGGTGAATGATTTTGATTGATTTTTGGTTTGGTTTGGTCATGGAGCTTCCACCTGAAGTTTGTGCTGATGATGTTTTTCAGAATAACGATGAAAGCTTCACAACCAAACCATCCAGCTCAGAAAACAAAACTCTTTCAAAAAGTAGAACTCGTCAATATTATGTAGTAACTGTTAGGTCAACATTTAAAACACGTAGCTTTCTTAAGACTTTTTTATGACTATGATACTGTAATTCAACTGTCATCTTTTATTTTAAAAGTTACCTCTGATTTCACAATGTCTTGGAGAAACTCCTTCACTGAAGATAATAGTTTATATATACTACTGAATGTTTTTTGAAGCTATTGACATCTGTACAACTCAAACATTCTTCCATCAAATAACAATAATGATGAACATTTTTCAACTACGATTTAATGATCGATTTAATTTAAAAAACATTTTTTTTAGTTTTTGATGAATGCGGAATGCGGAAATCTAACATTCAGTGATTGATACTAACAAATTGATTTATTAGTTTCTAACGATTTTTTCATAAAATTCTTTTTGCTTGCCTGGAGAACATTTTTAATTACTTAGACAATGAAAAAGTATTGCATCTATGTAAAGATAGTCAACCCGTCCTGTAGAAAGATGTGTCAACAAGGATAAATATTTCCGACGATTGGTAACTTGTCACAAATTCTTCATAATATCA